TGTGGCACACACACACACACACACACACACACACACACACACACACACACACACGTGTGTGTTTTTTCAAGCCTCGGGCCTGGAGTTTGAACCACAGAGTTGGCCAGGTAAGATCCAGCTGCCTTAACCACCATACTACTGAGTGGCCCATCATTGCTTGTCTTTAAGCTCCTTACAGAGAATTGAAATCAATCATTCTGCTCTGTATGCCCAGAGTAAAAATTGCTCCTCAAGTAGTGATTGCCTCCCTGATGTAATGAGGTTTGTATTTACATAATTTTGCCCAAATTCAATCAACATCCTTCTGATTTTACCCAAGACAATGAATAACTTGCCCTTTGCTTCTAGATGAACTCTCACACTAACCCCTTCCTCTATATACAGAGTTCTGTGTTTCCTCCGCCACAGCAGAGATGGTTATGGACTCCAATCCCCTCTCCTCCCACCAAAATGACTCTCTTTCTTTATTCACCAGCTCTTGTCTCTCAAGATTGGTTTTTGCAGAGCAACAAATGTGACAGCCCTGATCTAGTCCTCCAGGATGAGCATCCCTTCCTGTTCCCGCATCAGTAAAACAGAATTGCAAATCTCAAAAAATTGCTGACACTTAGATCATAAAGATTCCCAAAATACACATATGCAAAATAACTGTGAAACATGATGGATATGTTAATTACATTTGTTGTGATATTTATATTTACAGTGTATATGTATATAATCATCATGTATGCCTTAAATATATATAATTTTATGTGATAATGAAATTCAATAAAACTGAATATGACCTGGCCATAATATATATCATATGACATAAATGACAGGTCATCACATGTAATAGCAAGTAGATTATTAAACTACTAACTAGATTCAGAAAAATTGCATCCTGGGCAAATCACATACAGTATATTGTAAGATATTTAATGGCCTAGAGAAATAAAAGAAGGCAAGGAAACTTTGGGTAGGGGTAAGAGACTATTAAAGAGGAAGATTTGGAAAAGAATATAATTTGTTAAAATTAAAAATAATTAAAATGCTGAATATAGGCTGAACAACTGGTTGACTCGTTTGAGCATTTAATACTTCAAAAAGAAAATACTTCTCAATAATAGTGTGCAAACATGCAACATAATGACAATATCAAAAAGTTTATAAAACACTGTATATATAAAAACATTCTAATGTGTATTTGATTGGATAACCACAAGGACATACTTAAAATAGAGAAAATAATTGCATTAACATTTCCAAATTGATAAAAGACATTAATTTGCAGTTTCAGAAAGCCGCATAAATGTTAAACTAGTTAAATAAAAAGAAACCTGTGAGTAGACAAATTGTAGGGAACTTGTTAAAACTGAAAGGG